GGTACAACTTGTTCATATTGCACGGCGATTTGATATTTGTAATTTTGTCGTAACTTCGTCAGCACTATAGTGTCTAATTAGCTAAGAATTAATTGTTTATTTTGCAAATAACGCGCGCTAACATTCGTAAAATTGTCAAATTTTCTAATAAATTATGTGATAAATGTGAATTTATGTTTTTATTGCAGATTTTATTAATAATAAATGATTAATAAGATTAGATTGTTGGCATATTAATTAATTGTTAATAAATATTGACTAATGGTTAATATATTAATTATTGATGATTGTTAGATTGATAGATATTAATAATATTAATGATTAATAGATCTTGATGACTGATAGATATTAATGATTAATAGATATTAATAGATCCTATTAATGATTATCACTAATGATTGACAACATCACAAATTGATTAATATTATATTAATATTAACATTCTATTAATATTTATTAATAGAGTAAATCTTTAAGAAAAATACTTTAAGAAAAAGTCACACGTTTATTATCGTAGAATTGGAAGTCGGCTTAATTTGGCCTGAAATAATACTATTTAACTATGTAGACCGTCCAGTTATACGAATGTTAGCGGTCATATCACACTGCTCATAGCGATAAAGTTTACTCTAAATGTCCATGTTGCTCATTAGTTAAATAAAATGCGATACGATAAAATTAAGCTTCTAGATGTAAGAATATTTAAAGTAAAGAATTGTGCTTGCATTGAGCACATTAGGATGGATAATTCGTAGAGTCTTGAAGTGAGCGACTCTCTTAAAGTATAGTTCCATGATTCGTTTTTTATTGTTAATATTGTTTTTAAATTTTCACGGTATATATAATCAATTTTGAAGTATACGTATTGTACTTGTATGTTTAAATTTCACGTTAGTGTATTTATATATTTAAATCTTTAATTTTATTATAAAATGAAATTGCACGGTTTTTGCAATTTTTCTCATTTTGAATATTTTGAGATCGATTTACTCGACGTATTCAATAAATTTCTTTATGTCACTTTCACGATAAACTATATTGAATTAATAACGCCACTTAGCTGTAATGCGCAATAACGATATAGTTAACATTAAACTAAATCAGAAATAACTTTAACTTTAATTAACCGTACATCGAACGGCATCGTGCACGGTTCTCACTATGCATAAGGTTTCACATCTCCGTCTTATTTGTACATTTTTGCACGTTGTATATGTTACTGAATCACTGACATATTAATATCAATATCCGTTATATATATCTAGCTAAGGTTTCAAAATTATTATTAAGTTTTCACGATTAAGATTCACGCGACTAAGTTTCCTAATACACTGCGAGTCATATTATAACAATAGGCGAAACAAGCGAAGAATTTTCTTTTTAGACATTGATCGACGATTAATAAGTCCCAGTGAAATTGTTTCATATTGTTATACATTTTTTTTAACCATTGGTCGAATCATTTCCATTTATGACGAATTTACAGTGTTTGAAAAATAGTTAGCTTTTACGTATGTGATTAATGTTTTTTTTCTAAATTTTAGAGAATTTGTTAATTACATGTCAAAAAGGAAGGAAAATCATGATTAATTGACGCGTCGCTACTTTGAAGAAAATATTTATTCGATCCAAATCTTTTTTTATCGTCTCTATATTATAACGTAGTGCTGTAAAGGCGATTTTTTTTTTTTCGAAGTGACGCAGTCGGTTATATCAGAAGTCCTAAGACCATAAAGGAAATGCTGGATATTTCCGTGTAAGTCTCGCATATAGTATGGTATGGCTAATATCGTTTACATAGGCTGTCGTAGTTATATAGCGTGTACGTTATTATTATATATCATAAACGAAATGTCATTGTTGTTTTTTTGTTTGATTTGCGTAGCAAAAGAAGAGGAGGGAGTCATCTTTATTATATCGTCACGCTTAGATATTTAGTAAGCGACATCACTAATCAATATGGGATAAGCTGGAGAAAGAGTGACTTCAACTTTTAATATTGCATGTGAATTCCTTCTCGTAAAAGCCAATTGTAGAAATTAAGGATGGGACGTATGATATAGAGATCTTTGAGAACGAAACAACTGACTTTGCTGCGAATGTGTATGTATGCGCGTGTGAATTTAATCTGTAATTTTTTTTTGAGTGAATTGCGACGTACGAAAATGTAGTCTACGGTCGTTTTGTTAGGAACCAGAGAATTCTCGCGTAGAGACGATGCTGAAAATTCGTAGGATAACTTTAACGATTTTACAATTTTATTTTACGATACTTATTGGACAAGCGACGATCAATTCATTCTCAGGTGCTTTCACATTGAAAGTTCTTCGGGATTGTTCCATTAACTTCACAACGCCTCCCATTGTGATACGAGAAAGAAGCGTAAGCGAGCAAATCCATTTGCTTTGTTACTCTCCTTTTGTCATCTTTCTGTAAATCGAAATTTTTAGAGAAATTTGTTTTAGGTTCTCTTCCTCCGTTTTTGCCTGCGTTCGGCAGCTCGGTGGTTAAAGAAGCGTCAATTATATGCGCGTACATTTTCTGTTTGTATTATCGTCGAAAGCGAACGAGAGATTGTATTCATGTGTGATTGTAACAAGATTCGAATTTGTATAAATGCCAATGATTTATTGCCTCGAATCTGCTATTGTTTAATTCGTCTACCTAATTTACACATTATTATGATACTAGCTAATGTACTGCACGCTTATTATTTTTTTGTATCATGTATGCTTCCTTTATGAATATTGCTTACCTAGTAAACACCTCGTCTTACCGTTGTTTATTTTTATCAATGTAGATTAACTCCAGTTTTGATTAAAAAAATTACTTTTTATCTATTTGTGTAAATAATTTTTTAAAAAAGATAAAAAGTTAAACCGAGATTAAAGTTAATTTACGTTGGTATAGAAATAGAATTTTCATGATCAACAAGTATATAACGATAAACTATGACGAAATAAGGCTACATTCTCATGGATATATGTTGAATAGCGCATTGTTTATTAAGTATAGTGCAGCGTTACGAACTAACTTTATAATTTCACAGTGTTAATCTGGCCATCTATTTGTCTGTCTGGAAAATTTCTCACGGCTTTTTCAAATTCTATTTCCGACTGAGACCTTAACTCCATCGAGATAAAGTACGAACTGAATTAGTTAGTTGGCTATTTATATTTATATTGGCTATTTATATCATGTAAAATTTTATATTAGATGCCATTTAATTTTTCACGTTTTAAGAAATTTTGGTAGCATTGGGAGTTACCATGTATATGATCAGCATCAAAAGTCAAGTACTCGTCATCGAATGACCAGCATGACAATCAGTATATTAATAAACTATTTATGTACTGTACTCTCTTAACTCGAATAATTTACAATGCGACACGTGGTCCGTGCACGTTTAAACACAAAATGCATAGGATTCAGAGAAGTAATACTACTATTTCTTATGTCAACATCTGCATCATTTGATATGCAAAGGTATCAGAAATGAGATACGCAACGTCCGGGTGAAAACATGGTATAATAATACACCGAAATTGTCAACGAAGTGTCTGTCGCGTATCTTAGTAACAAGCATTTCTCTATTTCTTTTGTTCCTAGATATATGTATAGTATAATTTATTATTTCCTCTTAGTTTACAGTATACCAATTAATTTTGATTTCGCTCATTATTTATTCGGCAATACTTTCGAATCATTCAAGCTCATCGGAGGGCACTTTACACTTTTTCTGATTAACGAAGCAGAAAATTGGCAATATTATGATCGGAAATGGCTCATTGAGTCATAAAGAATAAATGAAGTATTTATTTCTGACGACGCAGCTGTTGTATTATCTTAATTGGAGTTTTAATCACAACGATTAGCATGATCTCCCTCAATACGCTGTTTGAAGTCTTCTCTGCTCCTGTAAGTATAGATAGATTCCCAGTTTATATCGTAAAACGATTATTTTTGAAGGTCAAATCCGATCGCGTAATAAAAACCGTGTCTCCAGATATCAAGTTGATTAACAGTCTGCTTCTTTCTTCTACATATATCTTGTACGCTGATAAAAAGAAAAGAAAACGGATTAATCGGATACAAGACGAAAGCTGCAAAATAAATACATTTTATTATTAATTGTACGCCTACATACATGTTTTATTATATATTCAATGAAGCATTCTTTTATTCCACATACACATACACACGCCGCGGGTCTGCAATAAAATAAAAAATATCTGTTGCACGATATAGTATATATCTACTATGTATAAATATATATACTCTCTCTTCGATATTTAATCCTTCCAATACACATTTATATCGTGGTACATAATTTTTATATAATACAGAACATCTCAATAATATCGTTATATCATTAAATTAACATTATTCCAACTATATGTTACATGAACATATTGTTCTGTTGTTAGAGAATGTCTTGTGATAGGTATATAAAATTTATACGCGCATATATCGCTTTATATTAATTTATTGTGTTATATTACATTTATATATTACATATATCAATTAAGTGAAGTAAAAGTTATTAATATTTTTACCTTCTTTTCATTTATTTATTTTATTTACTATTATTTCATAAATTTGCTTTGTACTTTACATTTATTTGTTCAATTACATATATATTCTCTCATATATTATTATACTTATATACATATCTTAATGTTTTCTCAATTTCAATATTGCCTCATTATAAATTCTCTTTTGCTTCATTTTCTCTTCTACACACACATACATATTTTATTTATTCTAGTCTATACGTATAATCTGTACACGAAGTTAAGTCATACTTCGTGAATCACCCTGTATATCTTACAACCGGCATGTTTACGCGTGTACGTGCATGTGGGCCGTGTCCCATGCGTGTATAATGCGTGTGTACGCGTTCCGAAGTTGGTGACGGCCGAGAAACGGCGCGAGACGATCCGTCCGGTCCGCGCACTTCGTGCGCTCTGCAGTCCATTGCTGGGAGGAGTCGCGCGAGGATGAGGTTCATTCTACCGCTCGTGATCCTCCTCGGAGCGTGCGCGTGTCACGCTCGCGACGACGAGATCGAGATCAATGAGATCGACAACGGTGAATCGGTGCCGCGCGAAGTGCAACGCGTGCGCAACGTCACGCTCGCCAAGATATACGAGAACGCGGTCCAGGCCTATCTCGAGGAAGACTGGGACGGCTGCGTCGCGGGTTTTAACGATGCTCTGCATGGGTACGTCGTTATAATTATCTCGTCGTCGTCGACAGTCTTCTTCATAAGCATACTCAATGTATATTAATTTTATGAGATAGACTACTTTAAACTTTTCTATAAGTTTCCACTCTTTTATGTTTTATTAAAAATTCTTAAAGTTTTTAAAATTAATAAGCGCATTTTCTGGGATCTCTAGTTTTATAAGGAAAATACATATTTGATATCTACTTTTTATGAAATTTTTTGCGTATTTATATTAATAACTTACGTACATAAATTAAACAAAATAATTCCTGAGTACCTAATGTATGATATATTTTAATTCTAAAATATATATCAAGCATTTTATTAATTTTAAATATTTTATTAAAAAATTTACTTTTTTCTGAAATGTTTAAAATTTAACGGGTTTTTTTTTTGAGGAAGAGGGATTTCTTTATCTTTCTATATATGTCTTTTATAGTAATATAAATTTCATAGATACAAAGTATACAAACGCATGGTGATAATATGCCGGCGAAAATGTAAAGCTGAGACGGCAGGTTCTTCGCCAATCTTCGCGGAGGATATCGAAGATCTGCACTTTTATGAGAGAAAAGTGAGGGAGACGCTTTGTCTAATGAAATGTAATCAGGATTATCGAGAAATCGCAGGTGAGGGGGCGCTTAAACGACTCCCACACGCAACGGAGAGGAAATTTGTTGACCTTGCCATCTATGAGTATCTTCATATCTGTTATTTTCAGGTATGTACGAAAGTATTTCTATTTAACTAAAATGCTTTAAATAATCGAACATTGCAAATCTTTTATTAAGTCTACAAGTTTGCTCCCGCCGTTTCTACAGGTATAAAACTCTATACAAAAACGGCGGGAGCAAACTTGTAGACCTAATATATAAATTACAAAAAAGTTTAATGTTTTGCAATATTAAATTTAAACATAATTTTAATTTCCATTTTATATTAACACTGTTATATAATTTATATTTGTACTTACGATGTTTCTTTTCGTAATTGAATCATAAAATACGACAGATACTCATTTTATCATATTTTATTTTATCTAATTAAAGATATTTATGATATATATGGTTTATTATGCAGTACTTCAATTTTGATTTAATTAATATAACTTTATTTGATATAATTTTATCAAAAGACATGCATCTCTGTTCACTTACAGAAGATACCATAAAGCATTTACGAAAATATCATACTGCCCGGATCCTAATCTGGTAGATTACGTAATTACAGTAGTAGATATTTGGTGTCCGCGTCCACTGCGTAAATTATGAGTTAAACAACTGTGGCATGATTCGAAAAACTGATTCGTATCATCATCCGTTAAATAACATAACTTTATTTCTGCGCATTTTCGTTGTTTACTCTCGATTTTAATTAAAAATTTTAATTAAAATATTATTAATAAATTTTAATAATTTCTCATATATTTTGTATTACTTTTAACATGATGAACGTTATACTTATTTCTATCATCTTTTAAGATAATCTAAAATAAATAAAAATTATACTCTCTATAAATATTATTTGATTGTTTTTCAAACAAACATATCTTAAAGATACAATTTTCGTTAATTTTTCAAAGATGCAGAAATATTTTTGCATATAATATTATAATAAAAATATACATAAATTTAACATCATAAAATAAAATAAAATATATATCTGTGTATCAGAGTTATTAATTCATGACATAATTAATATTATAATATTTATAAATAATTTCTTCTAGAAAGAAAGATATCAAGATGCGGCAAACGCAGCTTTCACCTTTCTGTCTCTTCATCCTAATCATGAGATGACTAAAAAAAATCTAAAGTACTACTTGAATTTGCCTAACGTGACCGTGAATAAGGTTGTGAATTTGGAGGCAGCCCCCTTTGTGCAAAAGTACACTAGAGGTGTCAAGGCATACGAAGATGAATATTACGAGGAAGCTGTAATCGAATTTGAAAATTCACTCGAGTTATACATAGAATCCGAAGAGGAATGCAGGCTTTATTGTGAGGGTCCTTTCGATCAAGGATGGTATCCTGAATTTACCTCTTCAATAGCAAGTAAGATATATGAATTGATTTAATGAAGAACAATAAATAATAAAATTAACGAATTCTGATTAAAAAATGCATTGTTTTGCAAATATGATTTTAATATGATTTATAATTAATATATAATTATACTTTTTAATCTTCATTTGGACGCGGAATTATTCGATCTAAAAAATAACTTATCGTTGTTGCTGCTTTAATATTAATTAACATTAAAAAAATATTAAACAACTTTCTTATTAAAATTTATACATTATTAAAAACAACGACGCACATGATATGTGCGTGCAATTAATTCTTCTTAATTGATTTTATTATTATTTATTGAATTGAACTCTTATTCATTATACAAAATATAGTAAATTAAATATTACATTTTTATTAAATTAAATTGTTAATAAGTTTTTTGATAATGTATGCGATTATTGTATTTTTAATTGCATTTTTCCGGAAAAAGTTTTAGATTATTAATAATTACTCAAAAAGTGTTTTTTATTTACTGTTACTCTTTAATTTTTTTCAGATCACTTTACGTTCTGTTTGAAATGTAAACGTATATGTTCGCTTACATTAAATAATATAAATGGCAATTTCCAGAGTGACTTGCTTAGAAGTCATTATAATTACTTGCAATTTGCTTATTATAAATGTGAGTATTTTGGTAAAAAAAATTGTTTGAACAGATTGATGTTTTTTATGACAAATTATGTAGATTGTAGATTATACCTTCTCAAATGTTTCAAACGTACTCTACGATAAATATATAAAATAAAGAATATATATTATTTCTGAATGAAAGAATTTATAATATGTACTTATTTATAATATGTAACTTTATTTATAATATGACTTTATTTATAAACTATTTATAATATGTAACTTTTATAATATGTATTTAAAAAATTAGTCTAATTTATGTTTGTCTAATTCAATATAATTTAGTAACATAATTAGAACATTCACATAAGATATACAAGTGTTATGAATTATAATGGTCTTGTTGTAATAGTCTCCATCTATTAACAAAAGCATACCTCAACAGCTCCATCAAGTAGTTTCTTGAATCATTCCTTGTCGTTAAATTAATTGGATTAATTTATAAATTATAGCGATCTCAAATGTTAGTTCAACATTATTTCTGAAACTGTCAAGTCTTCTGTATTACTTTGTGCAATGCGCATTTATTCTTTCGCACTGTTTCAAGAAAATTTTATTTTGATTCTTTATCTTCCCACTTTGCTTTCCTTCTCTTTGTCAATTGAATTTTTTCAGTTTAATATGTTAAAATCTGTTAAAAATATACATTTAGTCAAATAAATGGACGAAAGAATATAAAAAATATGTATAAATAATTTTTATTTATTTTATGCAGTGGGTAATTTGAAAGCAGCGTGTGCAGCAGTTGCGAGTTACTTATTATTTTTACCTGCTGACGAAGCAATGCTGAATAATAAAGATTATTACAGCTTCCAACCGAAAGTGGAAGAACAGTACTTTACACCAAGAAAGGTTTGTAAAAAAATAGAATTATTACAAAAATATAGAGTAAATGATACATATTTAATATTAGAAAAATTTCAAAGAAAATATCCGCAAATTTTCGTTAGAAAGTTCACAAAATATTTATTCTCATACAGAGTTTTTTAAGGGAAAAATCATAAACTTTTACACTTAAAGTAAGTGAAAATCAACGAAAGAAATGAAAAAATTGTAGTAGATCTATATAAATTTAGCAAGAATTAATGAGAGTACTTCTTAGGAAGCGCTTTCCTATGTGAAGCGGCAAGAATACGAGCTGTTGCTATTGAATTATATATCTGTGGAGTTCGCGGCGATTGATGTCAGATTTAACAAATTCACCAAGAAGAAAAACCTGAAAGAAGTTGACAAGAAGGAATTAGGGAAGGTAAAAAATGAAATATAAATTTATAAAGAAAAAAATATGTGTTAACTTATTTATAAGTAATGACTATTATATACATTTATTCGTTAATTGATTCATGAGGATTGAAGCTTGTAAGATATTATTCCTTTATTGTAAGCTGCTATTTCAATTTTTCTGTTTAAAGGTTGATGCACAAATAAACGTGACCATCACATATAAACCGATCAGCTAGACATAATCGGTGAACTTAATTCAGTGTTCGAGTGCATTTATCATTAGATTTAATACTAAAATATTTTTATACATGTTATACACTATTACGTGTATATTCTAATAGAACAATAAAATATTTGAAAATAAAATTCACTTTTATTATTGTCACAATTTAATAAAATAAAGATAATTATCAAATCCAAAATTATAAGAGATAAAGTTAAAATAATATATTGCAACAATTTATCTTTATAAGTCCCTCTTTTAATCGCCTGTTTAAATGCAACCATATTTACTTTTGCGTTCATATCTGTATAAGAATACAGGCGCGAGGAAAAAGATTTGCGAAATAATCGATAAGGAAACAAAATTAAAAAATCCAACTTTTACTTTAAATTTTGTGTTATTATCTTTTAGTGTTTATTCTTTATATATCTCGTCTTTTATTTCTTTAGGACTTTTCCTCGAGACCAATCTTGCATCCACCTCCAGGTCATTCTCCATCCATTCGAACGCGACTCATGGGTAATCTATCGACATTCCGGGACAAGGAAGAGATGAAGATACGAGAACATCATGTCTTGGAGCGGTTAAAAGTCACGAATAATGCGCGATTGATAGCAGAAGAAAATGAACTTGGCGGAAGAAACCGCTACGTAGCTGATGGGTTTCTCAATTCCACCGATTGTAATCTGCTCATGCAACTTGCCCAGGTATCGAAATTAACTTTACCAATCGAACATTAAACGATTACGAAACGTTTTTCTTCTTGATCCTTTCACATCACATGATCTTGATAACATTTCAATTATACAAATTCCAAATATATAGAATGAATTTTAATGGAACTTTATCTTCGCTAGAACAAAGATTTATATATGAAAATATTACATGACCAATTTATAAATTTTAGATTGCTGTGGAAGGAGACGGCTATGAAGAAAACAAAAATCCACATTCGTCTTACGAGCGTTTTGAAGGTGTGACCGTTGGCAGGATAGCCTTGGTAAGAATATACTGATATTTGCGAGGGAGTCACTATCTGAAATATTGTTCCACAGATTACATGATTTCATTTAATTTTATATAATTTTATTTGATGATAAATAATTTTCCTCACTATATATGCGATCATTTAGTAAAATAAACGATTTTATCTAATATTACACAATTATTTCTTATACATACATATGTAATTATCGGAATATATATCGGAATTTCATATAAATTTTATAATAATTTCAGGGACTCCGTCTCACGATTACATTAAATATAATTACCTCTTCGCATATGCGGAAACGTCCTTTATCATGCCCCTTCCATATTTATTGCTTTCTCATTTTACTACCAAAATTTATTATCATCTTATAAAAAATTGTAGATGGTTTACTTCGGTCTAACAAAGCCAGAATTATTGAAGCTATTTCTGCAACGCACGGAAGCAGCTCGCAATCACGTGGAAAGGTATTTCAACCTTGATCGACCATTGTATTTCACCTACACCCATTTGGTCTGCCGAACAGCTTTACTCGGTAATTTTCATCTGACGCATCCTCGTGCTTCTGACGACATTTTCGCTGGCATGCTCGCATCATATAACACTTGGTACGGCATTAAACATATAGACAGTCAATCAGACTTTATTGTGGATCGGTTCGTTTACGTTCTTTCATAACTCTTTTTATTAACAAAATTATCATTATATAAAATATAATAGCAAAATACGTTTTCTCTCTCTATTAAATAATAATAACAAGCTGTCTAAAGAGGGATGAAGAAGATTAAGTATTTGTACCTCTATTTTTATATGTTAAAGTCCCTCTAGAAAATTCATTATATCGTTATTTTCAGATTCACCGGCGAATAGAACTGATCTTAGTCATGAGATTCACGCTGATAACTGCGTGATAAAAAACGAAGGTACCTCATGCTTGCGAGAAGATCCTGCATATACGTGGCGGGACTACTCGGCGATTTTATATCTCAATGATGATTTTGACGGCGGCGAATTCTTCTTCGTAGAAGACGGGAAAAGACGTCGCGTCCAAGGTATCGTTCGACCTCGGTGTGGACGTATGGTGGCTTTCTCTGCCGGCGGTGAGAATCTTCATGGTGTTCAGGGTATACGTAGTGGCAAGAGGTGCGCAGTGGCGTTATGGTTCACTCAGGATGAAAAATATTTGGAGTATGAGAGGGTAGTGGCGAATATTGTGTTGCAAAGAGTCCACACTTTGGGTGCTGTACAACGCGAGGATACCCAAATACCACTACAGTAAGAATAGAATTTATTATATATTCTATGTAAAGTGGTCTCTCAGGACATTATATAATATATAGAAGAGAAGGAGTATCAACATTTAAGTTTTACAATTGTGCAATTATTAAGTTCAAAAGGAATATGGACGTTAATATCACTATACAAAAATATAATTAATTTACATTATATTTCATATGTGTAACAAAAATAAATCTTTAATTGTAAAATTGTATCCATATTCTATTCTTGCATTTTTAAATTATATGATAATAAAAATTTTGGGAGAAAATTTCACAAATGAGAAAATTCATATTTCCATATATTATATATATATCTCTAAATGATACAATAAATATCATGTAATAAAATTAATGTATCAAAATTATAATTAATATAAAAAATTAATTAAAATAGAAAATAGTTATAATAGTATACATATAAATAATCACAGATATATAGAATTAAGGATTAATGGATTAAAAAGCATATCTTTTTAAAATTCTATTTTCTCGTGAATTTTCTGTAGATCAAATAAAATATAACGTTTCTATTTTAGATATGAAGACACACTGATCCAATGTTTCAAAGAAGATAAGACGTTGAGGCAGATATTGAAGGAATTTACGCGAAAAGGCAGTAAACATTGGTAAAAATTAATAGCAATTTACACAAGATGTCCAAATGTCCAAGCGAGAAAAAAGGAAAAAAATATGGCAAGTGCAATTAAAATTAATGAATTAATCAATTCGTAATTTAAAAACTTTATAGATAAAAGTGGTTTATCTATAAAGATGAAAAGTCTGAATGAAAAGTTTAGAGAATAGAACATATTTCTTGATAAATAATTGGATCATGCAACTATAGAGATTTAAAAGTTTTTAAATCGTATTTTACAACAGTAAATTATTGATCTATTATACTAACATTTACGTATAAATTAGTCAGTGTTTCAAGAAACAGATATGTAGATATATGTAATTTCCAGAATACTTATTCGAGTAATTCAACTCGCATATTTGATTACACGACAAGGCCATTATAGGACAACAATGTGAGATTCGTCTCATTAATATTTTGCTGTGTTTAATGAAATCAAGTTTCTAGTCGACATGTACAATAAAACGCACAAACTTACCTCGCATACTTCGCACACAGCCATAGTCAATTATTTATATAATTATTTATATAATTCAATTCTAAGTTATCAGTTGAGCTCAATTGAGCTTACTCAGAATTTGATCAGTTCAGCCGTTAGTGAGATATATAAGGACATCTCTAACTAGTCGACTGGCAAGGCTTGCATATATAAATAAGTGATGACACGTTACACTTGTCGCGGAACATTATTGTATTTTTTGATAAATATCTGTTAATAGTAATTATTTTATGTATCAAAGTATATCAGCGATACCGTCGCAATTGCAACAACTGTTTATAGAAAATATCCTAAATCTTTATTAGAACATGGGACATATTACATGTCAACAAGTTTACATAACCGCTCGCTATGCATCGCGCAATATTATCGCATTAATTTACAGTTTTCGTATTTGTATTGTGTATAAGAAATTACGCCTGTGTTATGTACGCGATTGCGTTGCAATCCTCTTACTCCTTCTCTTCTTTTTTTCCTCTTTTACCGCGCAATTAATATGTGGTGGACACTTATACGTCTCTTTGTAAAATCAATTCCATTGATTAAGCGTGTATTTAGTTACTAATCATTCATAACTACTAATACATTTTCTCATCGAAATGATCGACATTCGCGATCTGTCCGTGTCGTTATCATAATTGCAGAACAAATAGAAAAACACATTTATCAAACGACTTAGAAGGAAGAAAGACAAGAGAGTAAAAGTTAAAACTTAAGTCCTCTATTTTTTGAGAAAATTATGATTGAAAGAATATTCCGAGGAAAGATAGAAATAAATAAGAGGGAATTTAGTTACGGTTAGCAGTAACTTTGGCATTCATTATTAAAATCAATTTGAGTAATTTAAAAGGTTTAATTTTCATTGTTTATTAAAAAGATATTAAAATGTAATATATTGCCACATGTAAATAAATATAAAAATCTAGATAATCTGAATTTTATATTAGTATTGTATGCGCGGAGGAGTCCGTTACTATTCAAATCTAATTTATAATGTAAAAAAAAACTAATCAAATTTTCTAACGTAAAATTTGGAAAATTTGTCTATATATTTAAAAGCATAGAACTTTTTAATTTTAAATTAAAAGTAGATTAAGTGAGAGATGTTCATTAAAATAGAAATTTTTATTAAAAAAGAAGTGATGCTTCATCTTCGTTTATGCTTTACAATAAATGTATATATATGTATATATAATACAGAATTTATAATTAATAACATTTATTTTGTGTTAATAACTTTATAATAAACAATAAGTAAATTAATGAGTATTCAATTTCATAATGATATATATTAAGATCCCATTCGAGTTAAGTCCCTCGTTTTCTATAATATATTACTTCTCATATGCAGAATTAGTCAAAATTGTCAAGGTTTCTATTTTGAGATTGTAAATAATTACAATATCGAAGCATAAATGTATAAAAAGAAAAATCAGATTCGATTTTATTTATAAGCAAACAATTTTGAAATTTTTGTAATGTAGGTCTGTTTTAATAAACTTGGTAAATGTAAATGTATATCTTTCTTTTTTCTTTCAAAATTTAAAAATGTAGACCCAACGATTTTATTGCATTTTTACTTCTTTAATCTTGTGAACTTAATTAAAATATTTAACCGAACGCATACAGAAGATATGCAATAAAATTGCAATAATTCAACAAAAAAGTGGAGGACATGACTTTTGCTCTTATATCCCTCATGTTCCTCAGTGTAGTCGTTATTACCGTCATCATTTCGGGATCAGTCGGGGAAAAAAGCGATAACGTGATTACGATACATTGTAACGTATATGTATGTTTCAATACAAATGTTTATTACGAAATTATAGTGACATCTGCATATCACAGGAGAGCTCAGTCGATTCTTCAGTAACCACTCCATCATTATGTTATTACGAATTGTATTCTAATTCTAGCAAATTCAAATGCGAAACAAGAGTTACAACAATACCGCGTACTACCTTAATAATGGAATAAAGTCTAGAATTTTTTTTCCTTTATCATAAAAATCCTCGAAGTTTATATATATATATATATATAAACGAATCAGAAAAACAATATCCACAACTCGATCAACGCAATTTCGCGCGATGAATTTAATATCTCGAATGGAGTGGTTACTCGAGTTTCGTCATAGGTCACAGATGTTTTTGTATTGCTCTTCGTATAGACCTAGGTGTATCGCCCTTCCCTGCATGACGATTATAATTAAAAAGCAATCTCGAAAGTAACGCTTTCGCGTCGTTCGTGAAAAATAGGCGCGCAGAAAGAGAAAGAGAGAAAGAGAAAGAAACGTATAGAGAATATCGCAGGAACGCTGAGACGCAACAATAACGACGGCAATTATAACTTTACTGATCATATTTTTCTTTTAGCAACGAGAAGTATAAGAAAATGGTACTTCGCGTTTAGCATCATGTGATTGCTACAATGAAAAGACGTAAACTGGCCTATATTTTAGTACCCGTTAACTCTTCAACTTTCGAGGTGTTGAAACGAACTTTCTTTATTATCGATAAGATTTAAGTTTCAGCGTAGGAGAATTAAATTCTCTTAGAACCAGAGACAGCGATTATCGCTTGTCGTAGATGTAAAACGGAAAAAAATATCGAGTGCACCGGACTGTATGAATTTGAATTAGACTTCTTATAAGAGTTACATTATTTCACGATCTTATATATACATTGCATATATAAAAAACTGATTCCACTTTTTTTGAAGTGTATTTGGACGTGATAAAATATTCGAAGAAACGAACAAAATACGAAGAATAATTTTAATCATAAACATGAAAAAAATGTTATCAATAAAAGATCGACATTTAAACGGCCAACAAATTCATTCTTAGTAGACAAAAATTGTGTGTACATGTAAACGTGCGCATATATTGCGTGCTACGCGCGCGCGCGCGTGTGTATGTGTGTGTGTGTGTGTGTGCGCGCATAATATTCGGCAATAAAAATAATTTTGTTTTAACATGTTTGTCTATATTATAATAATGGCTTTTAATGTATTAAATACCATCATAATAAATAATCTAAAGATATGTTTAGAGAAAATAAAATTATTTTTGAAACCAATTTATATTGCACGACATTAAATAATTTACTATCACAATCAATAATTATTCTTTTTCAAAAATATGAATATAACATATATTTGCCCATGATTTTTGTCATATGAATTACTGGATTAATCAATCTAATCGGGACATTCGATTGTCACAATTAATCTTTGTATTAATTTTTAATTGATTGGCAATTGATCAATGCCAAGATAAAAAAGTATTGATACAAATAAACCGACTGTTTAATAATGCCTTCAGGAAATTGACTTACTTATTGAGAATCAATATTTTGTATAAAACGTCTTAACATTAGTCCGTGATACCTCGTAATTTAATTGATTAAATTAATCAATTTGTATAAAGCAATGAATGTGATTACGATTGCCACCTTTCGACTAGTGTTCCGTTGAAGATTAACGACTCTTTTGCCAGAGATCGATTGTTATCTCAGAATTACTTTCTTATAGTACTTTCTCTAAAGAAAAAAAATTATCATCGACGCGCGCACTTAAAAAGATCATTAGAATTTGAATCTCCGGCCGAAAATCGAAGAGGGGGCAACCGTGTGATGTGTGAACAAGTGTGATATAATTATAACGAGAATACGCTTTTACAGGCGAAAACGGAACGCGCCATAATCGCAATAGGTACGAAACTTTCAGCATTTTACGTATAATACTAAGAATCTCAGTTTAAAACATTTAGATAAACGACTCTCTTCGTTCGCCGTTAGCTATACCTAAAGCTAAAATTCTGTTATCGACGTCAAATTTGTGTTTTAACATTTAAACGTTCAAAAATACAGAATCGCATTTGATTCGTTTCGCATCCAACATGTGCTAATGTTTAAAAAAGTATCGTTGATTTAAACTTTTTATCTCTATTTCTCTTGCTATCGCTTCTCGCTGTCTCATTATTTCCACCGGTAAAACAGTTTTTACTCGCATTTTATCGTACAGCTTACTATTTAATATTATCATCTCCTCGCGCGCATAAAAATAAACTAAAAATTAGCGTACGTGCCAAGATCTCTTTGCCGAAAGGCTCGTTCACCACATGCAAACAATATGCCTCTACCTTCCAAAATATAAATACTAAATATACATACAATATATTTAAAATCGGCATTTATATACTTAATCGTCGTTTATATTTTTTCTCCTTCCGCATGGTTATTAACAATATATAATGCTATCGCATTAAAATAACGTAAAACGTAACAATAAAGAGCGTTGTATATCCTTTCAATAGAGGATTAAAATAAAAAAAAACGTCGCGATGTATTTTGATTATGTTTAAGAGAGAAATTTTTTAATGGCGGAAGAGTTATCGTGTCGGAGAGTATGCTGGACACCAAAGATCTTCACGCGAGAATCTCTCATTCGACAGAAAAAACTGCTCGTATATTTGTCATACTCTATCGTAGAAACTTCGTTAAAACAGTAGTATTGTTAGTTTACAGTAGTACAGTAGTACCTTGATGCGAGGAATATATAAAAAATTAAAAAATATACAAGTTGTATATAAAACACATAGAATGCACATTCGTCATAGTGTGTCCTGCATCACGTCAGATTTTTTTTTCTACCTGTTCGTTCTAGTCGCGAAGTCATAAAAGATTAGCTTGCACTTAATAGCAGTACATTTAGCGTCGAACGCGTCGTCTTATGTCTAAATTTCCTATTGTATGTAATCGTATGTTCCCATCGAGATAAAATATAGTATGGCTTAATATAAATGAAGACTTGAAAGACTTCGGCGTTGAACGTGCAGAGAGAACGTGGATCACGTTTGTTTTACGGGAAGAGGCGTATCACTTCGGCTGTAAGACGCCTTTTCTAATTTCTCTATCTATTTTTTTTCAGTATATGATTTTTACAAAAAGATCCATTTAATCTTCGGCCGATGCACACTTTGGTATCCAACAGGTTTCTCCATGCATAATCGGAATATGAACGATCGATAGTCGTGATATGGGCAGTGAATGATTAAGCAAGTACCAATATTAAATGGGCTGGCTCTCCCATTGAGGCGCCCATTCTGGAAGTCGTCAATCTGAATTAGATGGCGGTGCGGCGTACCTCGAACGCGAATCTGAGTCCCCGTCGCATATGTATTTTCCTGAAACAATTCAAACTATGATAACTAGTGAAAGTTAAATCATGAAGATTATGTCATGATCATTTCTGTTTTTATTAATAAAAAGGTAATACATAAATATGACACTAAAACTCTACATTCTTTTTATAAAAAACTGAAAGAAATTTAATGTTTAAATTTAAATTTATATTTAAATCTTTTTAAGCAATTTTGTAATAATATAATTTTTCAAACAAGATACAGAATGACAATAGGGGAGATTGCTTTAGTTAAATAATCAAGAATTTCAGCTTATAGCTACTATTTTGTAATAAATATACAGAACGAATTTTGTTCTACAGCAAAAACCTGTCATTTTTATCAAATAAATGCATGGTTTTTATAATTCTTAATTTTAAAAACTAACGTATTTTGACATACTTTGCATAAATCAGTTGACTATAAAAAAAATCCGAGGTTAAAAGTTTTTGTAAGCTCACATAATGTTAGTTCATCTTTCTAATGTTTATTATAACAAATTATATTGTTATAAAAAATATTTTAAATGATACAAAAATTACTTTTTCCATATAACTTTTTGCGCAATCATCTAATGATTAAAAAAATTCCTGATTGTTCAGTTAACGTACCAGACACAAATTTTCGTTTCACCAAGCTCAACCGATACCCAGATCCTATAAGCTCAAATTCGACACCCGACAATGTGGTCCCTTCGCAATTGAACTGTGTGAATATCGTGCCCTGATTACCCGGGCCGCGTTCGAGCTCGACTCGCGCCTTCAAGGATCCGACTCCGTTACTCTCGCTGTGTTGCGAAAGCTCTGTAAATTTCCATAATACGCGATTCGTATCGGGCAGCCACTGTGCCGGCGGTTTACTATTAAACGACTTAAAACCGCCGTCGATAGGCGCAGCAACGTGAAGATTCAGTAGAGGGCTCGGCGAGGCCATGGCGCGACTGTTATATTTATAATCAATCTAGAATCGAAAACAAATTAATTTGTAATTTTGACTATGACATCAAACGAGTATGGTGCTTTTTGTTTCTCTCGAGCTCTGAAAAAGATGTCTTACCTTGAGATCGGTGTGGGTCGTTTCACATTTCCAATATGCGACTAATTGAAAAGGACATGATCCAGCACCTTCCTTGCATTTGATCTGATATTTGAGAATGTCTACATTGAAATACGAGGCCGAGGGATTCTGTTCAGCTTGTCGCCGAAGCAACATAGTTAAGGCACTCATGTTGAATTCGAAGATTGTACTATCGACGGTAGTTTGAGTTGCGTCCCTGTAAACGCAATCTCCTCTTTCAAGCTGCCTTCTTTCGATTTAAGGATTAAGCGACTAGTAAAAATGACTTACATGCTTATAAGTTGGCTGTTGGGCAACAGTCTTTCCAACCTATTGGTGTTCCTCACGCGGAAAGTCAGCTTGGCAGGACTGGGATTATTCGCTAGGACTGTGACGATGCCAGCCGGAAACGAGAGCATCATATCACCGCTTAACTTTACTTGACATCGGGTTTCGTCCGTGCCACGGAAATAGGAATGCACTATTTCATGGAAAGCGACTGCCAGCGGAATGGTGTCCGCTAGGCCGATCGTAAGTGGAGATGGTCCCCGCGAGGATCCCACGCCCACACCAGCAGTGCGAAATTCTAAACTAGCGACACTATCAGCTCGAGATATTGTCGCAGGTGACATCCTACCGCGTGGTGATGGACCTTCTCCTCGACGCGATGGCGGTCTCGGTATTACTATCGATCCCGTCGGTGTCGAGGACGCGGATTGCTTGGGTGGCAAGGCCGGTGTGATATCTCCAACTTCCGAAAATAAATCTCCATCTAAAAAAATGCGGTTTTTTTTACAAATTCTTATCTCTTTTATTCTTAATCATGTAAAAATAAAAAATATGTTTCAATTTAATAAATTGCTATAAGCGATAAGCAATATTTGTAACTCATATCTTAATATTTTTTTTTCGTAATATATATAGGTACGTATCATAATAAATAAGTTGACCGTCATTTGACGTCGTACATTTCACAAAAGTTAATTTATACGTTTGATAATGACTCAGTAAAGTAATTTCCTACTTTAGCAAACAGATAAACTCGTTAATAGGGCTTACCTGGAAATCGGGTATGAGAATGTGTAGGCGGCGCAGATTGTGGCGGCGGCGGCTGCGACGGGATCGGCGATGTAGAAAGTGGTGGTGGGCTCTGCAGTGGGGCGTAAGGGTGGCTACCGGTCGGTGTCGACGCGCTCGACGGGGTACTGCTAGGATTGAACAAGTTTAGGCCAAGTAAATCTGAGCTTGGCTTACCTCCTAATTGCTGTGACACTGACTGAGACCTTTTCATATGATGATCGGAATCAGTATTCGATCCTCTACGTCCCTGTTCAAACATGACATGTGATCAGAAAAACAAAATGACATATGATTTTTTTTAATAACACATATTTTGAGGAAATATTTCGAAAATTTGTGATACGATAAAAAAAATTTCTTATAAAAAAACAAGTTATGAAAATACAACATCGATAATGTTTTTATAAGGGACATTTTTTTATTAAAAATTATCTAATAAAAATTAAGAAGTTAATAAATAGTTTTTTTTTAATAAATAGTATTAAAATAAAAAAATACGAACATATATAAAATAAATACTAAATAATAGATACCTACATATATTAAATAATATTATCATATAACATTATATAAATGTATATTTTACGTTTTTTAACTTGCTTTTCCATTAAAAGTCCTCATAATTGTAGCTTTTGTATGTGATATTAAATATACAATTTAATAATCAAATAAAGATGTTATTTCACGACTTAAAATAGTGTGAGAAGTATTTAAATATAGTATACATTTGTCTTCTTCTAAATTATAGAATAATTGTTTTAACTGTAAGTTGTAATATATAACATACAATGAGATTTTTTTAGTAGAAAGTACAACTTACTGTTGGTGCAGGTGATAAAGATAAATTTTCCACTGTCGCCCTCAATTCGTCTACACTAGCGCTCATGGGTGCACCACCATTGCTGAGAGGCTTTATTTCCACTCGAATCTTACGTTCCCTCTCATCTTCCGAATCAGTATCCGAACTGGAATAAAATCCTTTTTCGTTTTCCCACGGATCCGGCTTCGGTCTAATACAAAAACCATCCTCGTCCACCTCCGGCGTCGGCGTTTCTGACTTTCTGCTATCTTCTTTATCCTCCCTATTGCGTTTGTAAAAGTCATTTAAAATAATATACTTTTATAAGTTCCAGCAGGCCCAGTGCATTACATAATGAAAACAATTTCATGCTAGAAGCGTGCTAAAATAATACAATTGTGGCGCTTATAGGCGTGATACGTGAGATAACTGAAGTTAAATATCAAGTATTCTACTGCACTGATAAAGAAATGCTATACATGAATCAGTGAATGCTTTCTGTTTGAACTTTGTAATTCTTTAACTTTTAAATATAAGCATGAATTTCAACAAAAATTTAGTACCAGTTCACTCAAACAAAAAAATCAACTAATGACTAATAAACAAAAGGTAATTTTTTTTTTTTAATTACATTTATATCTTATTAGGTAATTAATTATATATAATAACAATATTTAGAACATTCTGTCATATTAACATTGCACAAGATTTACACTTGTATGATGATAATCAGGAAGTTATTGAAATTAAATAGCCTTTATTTTAAATTAATGCATAGACGGAATGAAATAAGCATTCCGTAGAGGAAACCAATTATTTTAATACCATATAATTCAAAGAAATAGCATATAAATAAAATTATAAAAATAAATATTATAAAAAAGGAACACATTATATAATTTAAGCTAAATTTTAAAGCTCAGTAATATATTTTCGAAATGCTAAACTTACAAAATAACAGCTATTATAGTTTCAATACTATTCTTACAGACGTAACAGTTTATTTGAACGTTAGCATCCAATATATAATGTGTAACTTTCAACATCTGTAATATAGAAAGCATTTGCAGATTCAAGTTCAAAATATTTTAGATGTATGCTGTATATTGTGATTGATAATAATCGAAAAAATTATAATATATAATATATCTTATTGTTAGACGAACAAATAGAGTATTCAACAACAAAGCATTCCGAGTCTAAGATTCACATCCAGCAAAAGTATATTCAATTTACATTAAAATCTTAATTAAATATGTACATCACTTTTTTAGTGTACAGATCGACTTTATCTGCTGGTTATGAAACTGACTCTATGTGCACTAGGTCTGCTGTGCATGCATGTACTGACAGGTCAGACTTTTCTTCTTTATTGCTGCTTGTGTCCACGAGGTCCTTCTTCTTCTTCGCCTTCTTCTCCTTTCGTTTTTCTCTCCTACTGCGTAGAAACCCTGTTGGTCGTGGATACCCCAAATGTAGACAATAGGATGGTATATGTACTGCGATATATGTACTAGCTACTTATTAAACGTATGCTTTATGCAAATTACACTCTTACAGTTACACCAAATTAGGAATTTATCTGTATCTGCGAAATTAATGTACTATTCTTGTGTTAAATTTACTACAAATATTTATAAATTGTACACTTAGAAATAAATTTTAACATCTATTTTCATCATTTACTACTGCAGATATAGAATTTTGAGCAAAGGAAAATAAGATATTTATATAATTGATACTGATATAAAAATATAACAAAAAAAATTTAATGTTGGCATTAAAAAACATCATAGAATAGATGGTATTTCTATTAATAAGAAAACTAAATTATGAAATAAAATGAAAAAAGCAAAATCTACGTAGTTGCATTACTATCTACATGAATACGTATCTATTCGAATCTACAGTGTGAAGTTTGAACGAGAACTGCTGATGCTTGTACAAGAAAAATTATACAAATCGTTATATTTCATTCTAACAATTGTAGCATTTGAATGGGCAGAGTACACAATATACTTTTATAAAACTCTAATGAGAAATCAAAATTAAAAAATTTACTTTCCAAGTGATCAAAATGTAACACAACATGATCAAATAGTACGAAACAAATCGACGTACGTCGTATTAACTAGCATTCCTGTATGCATTTCTAATTAATTAACCAACTTCTACATTTTCTGATAATGCTGACACGAGTTTCCTTACAAAAATCGATTTGTTATGACTATATTAAAACAAATATATCTCAATTTAAATTACATTTGTTTAAATTACATCATTATAAAGAAGTTGTAACGTTATTTCTAATAAATTCAGTTGAAGCAAAAGTTCGTAGTTGCGCACTATTTCATATCTATATGTTTAAAAAAAATTTTTAGTAATTACATTATTTAATAAGGTAAAGTTTCAGTGTCAAGAATCTGTTTTCTTTTTTTATTGTGGTATGCGCGCGCAATGACTTTGAACGGAGTTACAATCACGGTTAAAATACTTCTTTTATTTAATTTGCGACAACTCAGTAACAAAAAATCTTAAGAACATAAAAAAAATGTTATATAGGTTTACTAGATTTTATATAGGTTTATTAAATTTTATATAGGAAAAACTTAAAGTTGTTATGTTAGAAAGTTAAAAATTTTTGCAAGTTTTTCTTACGCACAGCAAGTAAAAAATTTTTCATTTTATTCAGCTTGTAGTTTTTATTTGTAAATGATCAAATTCACAGAAACTTTAAATACCTTTCAAAAGTAAAGACTTCAATTTTTAAAACCTCTTTTTTAAATTGAAATTTCCTTCATTTTTATTTTTCATAACGAAGTTACAGCTGCCTGAAAAAAAATGCTGAAGTTCGTAACGCTACAAATTTATATTCCAACTTAATATCTATACAAGTATCACCGTTTCGAGGAAACGCATGTCAGCGTTTCATAAAACAACAACTAACAAAGTGAGACAAAGAATACCTACGTCGAACGAAGGCAGATGATAAAAGAATGAAGTATACAGAAAATAAAATTCAGTAGTGGAGTAGAGCACGTCACGTTAGTAGAAATATGAAGATATCCCACGCACCATCACCATCAAAAATCCTACAGTATCTGCATCGTCTACTCTCTTCTTAAATTGTTTTTCTAACAATTACTAAATCTACATTGACACTATAATAAACGCATTTCGTTTTGAACATTCTTATTCGTGCATATCTCTCTTTAAAAGATTATATACACAGAGGAATACATATCCTCTGCAAGCCAATTTAACGTTGCATGCAAAAATAGTCTCAAACATTAAATGAATAAATATTTAGAGGAATAATCCACAGAAAAAGAAATATTCTATGAGATATAAAAATATTCTATAAGGTAAAAATGTAATCTATCAATTGAAATGAACGTAAATGCTGCTGAAGATGCTACGGGAATGATTGTCATCGACATAGTTTACAATAATAGTTTTTAAAATCATATTACGTTATTGGAAAAGAAAGAAAGATATTCCTGCACTTGGAAAATAAATGTAAGTATAAACACGTGAGCCATGCGAATTAGGAATTTTATAAAAACGGCTCACCTGAGGCCCCATCAGTAGCCAACCCCGCTCTTGTATCTCAACATTATTCAAGTCCAACTCCCTTTAGTTTAGTTATATTTCTTTTTCTTTTTAGCTCACTGCATTCATGTTACAGAAAGAACTTTAGAAATATAATTATATGCTGCAATCCATGTAATTAAAATTCTATTCAGGACGGTCATTAGTGGTATGTGTTAGCATTTGGATCACTTATGACATGTAAAAAAGTTAGATGTATATGAAGGCTTGTATGTCCCGCGATTGTATAACCCATCCATGTACTTATTCCTGATTTTATCGGAAAAAAGATAAAGAGACGGAAAAAATAAACGGAAAGACAATAGTGAAGCTATGTTAAACACATCCATTAAAATTTACAACATTTATGTGTATGTTTTAACAACACGTTATTTAATCTTTAATCTTCCACGTTATATTAAAAAATATATACATAAAAGTGAAAAAAATTCGAAGCAAATGTTTTATAATAAACCAAATGCACTCGATAATACAGTTGATATATTTATATAAAAATATATTTACAATTATTTTATGGATTTTTTTTATCGTGGTTGTGTAAAAATTGATGCAAATCATATGTCGCCGTCGGATAATATATGTATATTCCCACAGAAAAGATTGTTAGAAAAACAATTTATAGATGAAAATTTATGAAAATACGAAAGTAATTAGAATCCCATACATTTCTAATTGCTAGACAGTGCCTATATTCTATACAAGCGTCTTTCAATGTTAGTGAAATGCAAACAAAAAATATTTCTCCCTTTAATCCATAATATCTCCTCAATCTTAGGTTCATTTCAAACACGAAAATAAATCAAAGTGAAGAAATATTTTGCATGGATGTTACATGTGAAGCAGAAATTAATGTTACAATAAAATAATAGATTTGTTTGACGAAAGATATTTGTTACACTAATTTGAAGCGTTTAGACAATATTAGTATACGTACATTGCTGTTCTAAAAGTGAGCACAGTGGAGGAATCATAATACGCGCAACCACTATAAGTCAGTAGATAATTTATTTAACCATATTACGTTTTGTTCAATTATAAAATATAAGAGATATTTAAAAAGAATAATGTCTTTTTTTAACACCGAGCACCATAAAGAGAAGACAACCGATAGAAACATTATAGATAAAGAGCTACACAGGAAATGCTCGAATAAGACTGATTCTGTTATACAGTACGAAAGAAAATATCTTAATTTAAAAATCATAAATACGGAATAAGTTTATATCTGAGAATTTATATGATAATATTTATGATAAATATTTTCATATTAAATTTTCAAATTAATAATTGATCATTCATATTCGAGCCAACACATAATAGATTATCTGAATAAAATCCTCGATTAAAAGTGATAATTATGGCAATAGTTGAAAAAATATGTGCAAAGTTATTTTACGTCTCATACTCATTAAAAATTCTAATAAAAGAAAGAAACCGAGATAAGTAGAAACCGCACGAACAGAAGCATGACAATCGTTAATTGTCGTATCAGCGAAATTAAATACAGAAATGATTATTTTATCAATGTACTCGGCAGCTAACGTCAGTATCAGTAATCTCTAATGTATGTTGTATATTGTATTCTAACAACAAAGTCAGAGGGTATGGTAGAGGAGGTATAGGAGTAAAATGTAAATTGTTACATTTAGATCCTCTGAGAGGGTTCCTGGAGATGCTGGGAGGTGGAACAGCAGGAGGCAGGTTGTTCCCTTGGGGGGTGGCAGGTGCCGAACCAGACGACCCTGCTTGCTTCTGTTTGTCTGAAACAACACTCATCATTTTCACGTCTTTGAATACCTCCTAATCAACTGATGGCCCCTTTTTTCTCTCGCTCCGTGTCGCATTATTTTATTATGCACGTTAGTTGTACCGATTTAAATTTTAATGACCTTTCCAACTTTCAATGGTATTTTAGAGCGTTCCAGAGGGAATATTTAAAATAATCACGTAACATCTCTGTTCATATATAGTTTCGTATCTGGACATACAATTGTGTAATAATATTCGACGCATAAGTACAGCTATATGCACAAAGACGCAAAAATTAAAGACATAATTAAATATTATAATTTTATAAAAAATTATAAAAATATAGTTATAATGAATTTTCTGTCTGACACGATAATTAACTGCACAAACAAACTCATCGTTCCTCTGTTTACTTTCCATAGATGAACAAAACAATAAAGTAATATAATCCTTCATAAAATAAAGTACATATAATATATCACTCGACATGTAATATACCCGTATAATACATATAAAAATACATAATTTGTAATATACATACAAAAGTATAATTAGCGCATAAAAGTTAAAATAAAAAACAAACCCCCTGGAACACAATGGTGTATTCTATATGTCATCCTCCACCTAATGTTAGATCGTTACGCATAAGCAAGTATAACACAACAACCACATAAGCGTAAATAAATCAATAAAATTGTCTGCGTATAATATTTGAATTGATATATCTGTGATCGAGTGCTGCAATTCAATTGGGCAAGTGTATAATGTGATCGATGATGGTATACGTATATAAAATTAAAAATGGCAATAAAATCTACCCAGCCATATGCAATGTTATGCCTTGTTTTACGAATACTTATATTGGACGTGAGATTGTAAAATTAATTTTGTCAAAAAGGACCGAAAGCGTATCCGCCATCATTTTCTAACAATGTGAAGATGTAAGAGTGCATCAATATAATGTAAAATGTTTCAAGAAATGAAAAAAAAAGTCTCGTATGAAAAATTGCATCTCATTGCATCAAAGCCAAGGTAGGTTCAAACTATTGCAATTAAAGACATAACGAAACTTTGAAAAAGTTTATATAACTTCAATGAAAAAGAGAGATAGAGAGAGATAGAGAAAGAAACCTACCATGGGAGTTGGACATGAACAGGTTGAGTAGCGAGGTAGTACGACGGGAAGCCTTGGTGGTTTGTGCATATGACAGTTCTCTGTCCTTTTCCTTCTGTCTTTCTTTTTCTCTATCCTTTTCCAATATCACCCTCCCCCTTTCCCCGTCCAGTACCCTCAAAGTACTACCCTCCCCCTTTAATCCCTGATCTTTCTTTGAACTGTGACTGTTACCAGCTACGCCTGTTTCGCCGTTGGTGCTCTTCGACGTTTCCTTAGGTGTCTCTACGCCGCTGCCTTCTGATTGAGAATGGCTGGTCATTTCCGCTAAACTCGTCATAACTTCCTCATACTCAATTACACCTGATTTACAGATACATGTCATGGATATTGAGAAACAGAGACGAAGAAAAAAGTTTTAAATACTCTTTTTACCTGGTTTTTCGAAACCCGTATATTTGCTCTGAACGAATTGCTCTAATAACTTCTCCACCGTCATATCGACGCATTGCCGTTTGAAGTCGATATGAACCTGGCCGACTTGCTCGTGATTGGTTTGCAAAACATCAGCGTACGTATTCAGAAATTCCTTCATGTGCTTCAGATGCGTCTCTTCCACATCTTGGAACCGCTTGGTAACGAAAACGTACATTGATTAGTACGCTTCGCTAATTGCTTGCGCAGCAATATTATCTCGTAAAGCCTAACTTCTATATTTTAATCCAGAATTAGTACCCTGCAAGCTTGAGTCATTTTTGCCTCGAAGTCGTTTCGTATGACCGTGTATTTGTCCACCAGCGCCCTATAATCATCTTGTGCCTTTTTGAACTTGCCCTCTGCCTTCTCCAGCTCCTTTTGACTGGCATTGTCCTTCCTTAATTTTTCTAATTCGAGACGTTTTTGCATACACATGTCTTTCGCCTTATGTAACGTTACCGTAATGCTTTGTATACTTTGTACAACTTCTAAAGTAGACGATTCTTCTTCCTTCACCTAGATGTTGTCGGTACACAGCGTATGTCATTTCTCTAGTTAAACTATTCTAATTAAAAATTAACGCGAATCAATTTGATTTGCATGTGCAATTAATCATATTTGTATGTACACTTTGATAAGACCTCTTGCACATTGCCGACTTGATTGTCTGATGATGAGAACCTACTGACCCAACTGTGGGCGGAGACTGATAATTTATGAACACATCTGATAGCATATTGTGCAGCAAAGTATGGCAATTGTGAACAAAAAAAATAATACCGTATTTTACTGTGTAAGATCGCAATCAAATTAATGAGAAAAATATTAAAGTTTTTCAATAAAAAGATAGATAATCAACAAATTATATAAATAGAAAAATGCAATTACGTACAGCCTTATGTTTCTTGTGCAGTTCGTCGGCATATTTTGACACATCTTTTATGAGTTCGGACACCCGCTGGGCCATTTGAAAGTGTAAAACGGCGAGTTTTTCAGCGGCTCCTCTCAGAGCGGCCCAGACAGGTGCGAATGTCCCTTGCGTGCTATTGCTCGCTTGTTTCGCTACCTTACTAAGGAGTTTATAATTGTTTTCCTCTATGGCTGATCTTTCTCGCAAAAATTCAGCCAACTCCTTACTGGCAATTACACCATGCTTCATGTTATGATACAACACGTCAAATCCATTATTCTTTTCGCCCTTAAATAATACAAAAAAAAACAGTTTATATATATTTATACTTCAGTAATCTAAAATTTGATTTGTTAAATTTAAATATTTTTTTAAAACGGTTTTGACTTTAATTTAATTGCTTCAAAAACCATTTAATCATTCAATGAGAAAATATTATTTTGAGAATGGATTGAATGAAATAAAATTTGGTATTAAAAAAGCAATTATATGTCTAAATATATAATTACATATCTAAAAAATTATAAAATAAAGAAAAATTTTCAATTTCTCTTCCATGCAAAGTTCAAAAATTGATTTAACATATAAAACAAATTTCTTTTTAGATATGTATTGTACTATTTATCACAATATGGTAAATTAAACATTAATATTTCAACACTTCACAAGAATTGACATTTGAAAAAAAAAGTAATTTTAAGAAGTTGAAAAAGGTCACGATGTTTATAAAACAATGTTTAAATTAAATCTGTTTTTATCAAATTTTAATGAATAATATACATATATTAAAAAAGATATTTTGGTTTAGTATTTTAGATCAATTTTTAAGAATTACGATGCATACTGTTCAAACTGTGGTGATAAACTTTATATGGAAAATATAAAGAAATAAAAATTTGTCATTTTATTTCCACAGAACATAAAATTATATAAATAATAATAAAAAATTATACAATACAAAATTCTACAAATAAATATATTTTTAACGTCAAAATGATTTCATTTAATTGATTTCCAAAATTATATTTTCTTACCTAACAGTCAGAGTGAATAAGCATTTTAATTTAATATTTACATTAGCTACTTTAATTTTAATGTGAAACTGTCTATAAATTTTTGATAGATTCTGATAAAGTAATCAATTAATTATTTAAATCAACTTTTCGTCAACAAAAATATCGAAATTCTAATAGTTTTTGAATTGCTAATAATTAAAAAATATTTTCGAATGAGAGATTAAAGGAGACAAATAACAAAACCATAATCTTGAGTTAATTTAATAAAATAAATTTTAATAAAATTCCAATTCAAAGCTTAATTATAAAGACACATGAAGGTAATAAAAAGTTGCGATAACGATTTTCCTTAACATTTTGGCTAAGAAAAAATCGACTTTATATTTATCAGAGAACTACAATTAAAATTTTAAATGTGGCATATGCATACTTCATACATAAATGTGCGTATTTTAAATTTGAAAGTTAGAAAATTAGCATAATAACGAGAGAAAAGTTAGACAGTTAAGACTATCATTTCTCTATTAGAAAAACTCGTAAAAAGTTTTGCAATTAGACTACTACGACTAAAAGAAATATATCGGAATAATACTTAAGATCACTTAGCCATTTAACACTTGAACTCTGATCATGCGGTAAATCCACATTGAGCAGAACCGCTTAAGTGACGTCGTAATAAGCTGTCATTACATATTATTGCCCTTGTCATCCTATTGTACTGATTACTCGCGGCAGTTATACGTCTCAATTTTTACTTTGATTTTATTGCAAAAGAATCTGTCGCAAACAGCCCGTCTGATATTTTACATCACATTTATGATGTAAAAGTGTCATAAAAGAGGATTGTAATGTAATAATTGTATTATAAAAGAATCTTCTACAAACAGCCTGCCATTGCCTGCCTGATGTTTTACATCACATTAGAAATGATCTCATACATGGGATACTCGTCAAAAAAAGGAAATGACAACTATCTTATCGACAATGTGTGTTCGGAGAGAAGTTGTAGATAAAAATGTAACATTGATTAAATAAATATCCTTAAAAAATGACCTTGTAATAAAAATCACGAAATGCAGTCAGATTTATATACTTTTAACATGACTGTGTTAAAAAAAAAAAAAACTTTTGCAACTATTATCAAATTCTTTAATTGGTTTAATCCTAATTGCACCAATGTTACTTTGACTTTAAAAACGAAGCTTAAAAATGCTCCTTTCCTCTCTCATTCTAAAGCCGAGAGTGAAATCGAGAGAGCATCGTTTCAAGTTAAAATTACGTTGGTATACACACATAAACAAATACAATCAGGTCTTATATATTTAGATTCAGTACGGAACTAAGGGCAACAGCAATTGATATCAAAGAATTTTACAACAATTGCAAAGCTGCTTTTTTTCTACTGAATGCAGCCAATGTCTTTCGCGTTTTTTATTTCAATAATAAATAAAAGTCTATATGCATTTTTTTTTTTAATTTACTATTAACATACAAGTATCCATAATACATGGAACATTGTACGTATACATAAAAATATTATATGCATAATAATAAAAGTAAACTTATAAAACTTTATAACCAATCTTCATATATCCGATCTTACACTCGACATTGTCTGTAAATACAATCTTGAACCGCTTACAATCATTTCATTCATTTTAACTGACTGGTTGGATGTGTCAAGAGTGTCCATGACCAGGCTTAAGATGATCTTGAATATAACATCAGACTATGAATACTGCTCTATGAAGGTTACATAAATCAAACGTTGCAATATAAACTAAACATTGCGAACGATATTAAGCAATTAAGAAGATAAACTGGTAACATCTATTTGACTTTGAGAGGAAGAGATTCAACGTCTCTTCGTTCGCGAGCTCGATACGATCCGACAAAAATTTCTTTCGCGTGTAACCTCCAGCGCGCGACTGAAGATCCTCGTTGAGATACACGTTGCAAAGAACGTGCGTGAATACGCCTGCAATTAGAGGAGGCTAATTGCGGGGACGGTATAAATACAGCGAAAGAAACCGACATGCAGCAGATGTCCTTCGACCTTGTACATACATAAGAACGCGTAGCCCGGACGGCAGGCTGCTTAGGAATGCAACGCACATATTAAATAGACATTATTTTCATGCATGTTTTTTTTCCACACAATGAATTGACTCACATGCGAGTGCAAAACGTACGTACGAGAGGTACAGGTAGAAGGAGAGAAAGAGGGGAAGAAGAAGAAGAAGAAGAAGAAGAAGAAGAAGAAAGGGGGATAAAGAAAAAGGAGTAAAGGAGAAAGGAAAAGAGAAGGGATGAAAGAAAAAAAAAAAAGAGAGGAAGAAAGAAACAGAGATAAGAGGGACAGTGAGAACAGAAGAGAAACGGAAAAAAATAAAATGAACGGAGACCGAGGTAGAAGAAAAAATGGAAAAAGAAAGGGGGGAGGGGGGGGGGAGAGAGAAAGTTGTGTCAAAATTCAATAAAACGTCTCGGCATCACGTAACGAACGTGAGAGAACGATAAACGACAGACAGGAAGGGGACGAAGGAGAGAGAGAGAGAGAGAGACTACATTAACGGGTGTACCGCGCGTCGTCGGAACATCGTAAAGGATAACAATCGCGCGGGGTAAAGGGCAACCGGATGGGGCAGGGTTCGAAGAGAATCACGACGGCGACGTATACATTCTCCCACGGATATCACATAACCTAAATTCACGCGCGCTAACTGACTGGGGGAGAGAGAGAGAGAGAGTGTGACGTTTCGCGTTGCCATCCATGAGGAAATCGGACGGACGCGGGACGGGACGAAGAAACGGAGTAAAGCGACAGCAAGAAGGGCACGCTTCTACCTAGATCAACTCACCCAAAAGTAGTCGACAAAATCCACGGTCATGTTGAGACCGCGATCAGACCATCATACCACCTCGCCTCAACCTCGCGTATTATATCGGCACGAACAATTGCACCGCACTCTTCTTTCCTTTCCCCCGCGACAACGGCAGCGCGCGTGACACACGCACGGCACTGCGCTACGTGCGGATGGTATATATACGCGCGACACCCAACCCAAGAACGCGCAATACTCCGCGATTCCACACAGAAAGGCAGCACAGCGACTCGGCGTGAAGTCTGGGGCCGTCCAGCGCGGGGATGGGGAATATCGCGAGCGGAACGGGCGCGCTCGAGCGCAGAAACACGGGGTCAACTCGCGTCTCGACTGTCTCCGTCTGCCGCTGCGTCGCGTCGCTCCTTCCTCCTCCTCCTCTTCGCGACCCCGCCAGCACCTCCTCGTCGTGCGGCGCTGAAATTTCTTCTTCACGCGCGCGTATACGATGCCGCGCGGTTATTCGCTACTGACAACGTCGCGCGACCAATGAGAGCGCGGCAATCGACGCGCCCGTATGAAACACTTCAAGGCTGTTTCGCATTGCTTGCACCACTTGCGCTCACTCAGCATTTTCTATTGGTCGCTTACTGATGGAAAGGAAGTGAAATAGATACTTTAAAGTCTTTAAACAATTAATAGCAAAGATATTAATGACAATTTGTTCTTTTTCTCTTTTTATTTTTCTATACGTTTTGTATTTAAAAATGAACAGGTATGCGCTCGGTTTTTAAAGAAAGAGAAGTAACATAAAGTGCAGAAGGTGTAATAGAAACAATAGATTAAGGATATGAAGTGTACTACATACAAATAGACTGAAATAGATATAGATACTTTTAATTTCCAATATATTTTTAATGTTTGGAATGCACTTCAAACAATAAAAGATATTAATATACTTTTTAAATTTATATAATAGTTTATAAATAAATATTTACAAATAGATATATTACAGAAAAATAATTAATAAATACATTATCTGTTTTTGTTATAGAAAGAATATTTGTGTGTGTGATCTTACATATACAAAATTTTTCAAAATTTGCGCATATAAAATGAAACGTATAGTGCAATTTTTTAATACTTTCTTCCAAGATAAAATTACGATAAAGCAAAGTTTTTAAATAAGTATAATTTAAATTAAGTTAACATCAAATAAATGCTATTTACCTAAATGTATTCAGAGAAGAATGAAGGGTACAGCAACACGATATATCTTTTGATTGTTCAATTTTTAAAATTCTTTTTTCCAACTTCAAACAAACATTTCTAAGCATTTACAGTGAGAGACTACGATCGTCATAATTTTTAAATAAGATAGTACAAACAGAATGATTTATTAATTTACATTTTTTAATAAATTAAATCATTCATGTGTTATCATATCAGATCATATATACCAGTATATATAATTAAGTACACAAATAAGAGTAGATTAAAAAATGTTTTTTCATCCGATCTTTGGTCTGTTCGGCACAACAGCGGCACAAGTTCAAATGACTTGGCGGTTCGCCGAACGGCGGCACGGAAGGCGTGGCTTCGTGCCGAGCACAGCCGAATACAGCCGAACCCGTGTCATAGGCGCGCACACAGTGACGCGCACGTGTACCTTCGTACAGTCTGTATAGAGTGGAGTAGGAAAGTTTCGGTCGTGTTATCAATCGCTTTCTCCTCCCTCGTCGCTGGACCGCTAATCTCGTTCTCAGTGATCCGTCGTGGACGGATACGGGTCATCGTGCAGTTGACGGTAAAGTAACCGGGAGGAAGTATAAGCGTAAACGATGCCCGCGAACAAATCGAACCTATCGACGCCCCGTAAAGAGAAGCCCGGCGACAAGCTCTATTCCCTCGCAACTACGGTCGGCGTTAACACCAGCAAGAAGAAGAGGCGCTCCTCCTCCTTCGTTAAGCATAAACATTACGCGCAATATCTGGTGAGTGTGAGCGATGAATTAAAAGAAAGTATATTGTGACACGCGAATCACGCGAGCGGCCATGTATACCTAGAAAAAGGGACGCGCCTCGCGCGTCCATTTATTAGACCGTCGACGATCCATGCAACTCCGATCGATCGTTCCGAGAATTACCGCGGCGTGATCCACCCTCCTCGAGTACGTGGTATTTCGCGCGTTTACTTCCCCCATTGCTGGACATGGGAGTAGAGACGCTTACCCCCTAACCAAAGGTTAGGGTAGCGTCTAGGGGAATATTGAGTGTTATTGACCCCAAGCGACATGACTCGGTCACGGTAATTGCGCGAGGAGGGAAGCGCATAAGGGGATGCGCTTGCAAACTTTCGATTCCTTTGAATTGCATTTTTTATTGTCTTTATTTTTTTTTTTTTATCTTTCCTCATATGAAGGACTAAATATGTAAATACTTTTTTATATTTAAGAAAGAAAGAGGAGAAAGAGAGAAAGAGAGAGAGAGAGAGAGAGGGAGTGAAGGATGAACAAATTTAATGACACAAAGAATTAATGAAGTTATGAAAAATATATATATTTAATACTCTTAGTCTTTTTTATATCAGAAATAATTACTTTTTTTTAAGCAAAAACTAAGCGAATGACATCATAAGCAAAATCTTAAAAAAATAAGAAATTTAAGCTATTATTGAGCAAGAACTATTAAATATTAATGTAATTTTTTAACAAACAACTTTAGGTTTGTTTAAATAATTTGAAATGTTGTCGCTACACATCACGCAAATCTCTTGATATATCATCCTCCTTAAATATGCAATTATGTTCCAAGAATATTTTGCGTGTTTAATTAATATTTTTTAGAACATGTTTCCAAGGATATGCTAGTTTGGTCGACAATTTTCTATAATTTAATCACGCATGAAAAATCGAAATACTTTATTTTATATTTTCAGCGAGTCGTAGGAGGATGTAAAAAAATTACACTTTCTATATTTATTGTTATATTTCTTTTTATATTTTACTATATTTATTACGAAAAGCAAAAAATTTGTTTACGTCAGAAATCTCAGGGGTATATGAACGATCGATTGGTGTTGAATATACTCGGGATGCGATTTGTATTTCAAGTTGCGTTAAATCAACAGAAACAAGTATTTCAATTTTATGTATATAATAGTAATGTATACTTATTAATGATGTTATAAATATCATGATATTGGCGAGATAATCGAAAGGAATTTGTTAAGATATGATATGGCGATGATTGTTGGAATGAGTTATAACAATATAGGTACGATTTACATTAATATTTGGCAAATGTTGATACGCTATAGTTAAGCACACTATTTGATCAAAAATTTTTTTTATAAATTTTGTATAAACTTCTAAAAAGCACGCTTCCCTTGCGCATTATGTTACGTACGTGACATATATAAGAGACCGTGAGTTAAAGGGGATAAAATGAGGATTCGAGATATCACGAGGGATTTCTTCCAGTATTATACATATTATATATAGATCCAGTATTTTTGTCATGCACCCTGATACTCGTAATGGTATAGTTGTCGCAATTAGCAGTTATATTGTACATTTTGTGGCAATACATTTGGGTATAAATACTAAACTTGAATTTTATTTTTACAATTATAGGCCCTGCACTGATATCCTCCCTCTCCTTCACCTTTTGAAATATTAGTGCGTAGTCTTTTGTGCACCAAATTTGTAGTCTCTTGTCGTACAAGTTTGTTTCAATAGTCGATATTAAACTTACCGTTAGTTTAGTAATTTGTTTATTCTGTGTGAATTTGTAAATTTTTTATTTTTTATTGTTATTACTTAGCGAGCTTCACACGAAGGCTCAAAGATTCAGGTTAAACCGTTGCATAAATTTTGTATTTTTATTTAATATTTAGACTAAAAGTGTTTAAGAATGCAACTGTTTGTTGTCTCGACTGCAATTAAATCAATCGAGAGGAGGTTCTTTTTAAAAGAAAGAAGTTGCTTCGAAATGATGTAAAGTTGCTTCAAAGTGATAGTCTACACGTATTGATTCAAAGACAAGAAAAAGAAGTTGCTGATTCGGCGGAAACAAAAGGGACACCAATCCCTTCTGCAGCCACTTTCGGACCCCTTCCTATACTTTGCAGATGTAGAAGTTGGCTCGATTACATGGAAAGATAAGATTTCTTTCTCTCTCTGCCTCTCTCCCTCTCTTTCTTTTTCCGATTTGGATCTCGTGTTAGATTTGGTCATAAAATTTATTGTATTATATTTCTTTTGTGTAATTCAGTTATTGATTCAATTGATTTTTTACTGTTCTATTAAGTCAGATTCGTTTTATGCTATGAATAATACATTTATTCAAAGAATAGTTATTATGTGATAAGAATTATAAGAAGAGCGTAGGAAGATCCATGATAATATCTTTTCAATTCTTTCCCTTATATTCACTTCTACTTTTTTAATATGAGAGAAAATAATAAAGTGAGAGGAGAAAGAACTTCACAGTTTAGTGAAATTATTTATTATAAGTTAAATCAGCAATTTGCTTTCAACAAATATAATTCGGATTAATGCGCGAATCATTAAATACATATTAAGATTAAATATAAATGCTGTATTATCCATATAGAAATGTAATCGTATTATGTAATTGTTCCATAATACGGTATTTTTGTTATGTATATTTTTTCTTATATATTCATGATTTATTACTATCAATTTTAAATTTAACTTGGGTTCTTCTCAATCAACAATTGTTTATGAACTAAATGAAAAATCGGAATATTTTTAACAATTAAAAATCTCAAATATAATGAATTTCTAATATATAGGTTTATATGTTTTAAATCCGTTAACGTAAATACGAAATAATATTGCTTTTTTTTTTTTAGAATCCTTTCATATTCATTAAACTTTTCTATAATACATCAATAACATGAATCAAAATTAATAATTTATGTATATATATTATTTACCGTAATTTATTGTAATTCTGAAATGGATTATAATTATCTTATATAATCTTCCACTTAAAATTTTTAATTCTTTAAAAAATCTCTTATAAATCGAAATATGTACCTATAGAGGACGAGGATCAAAATCGAATTCGGGGATGTGCTAACAACGAGTTAACTGCTCTTACACGGAATTATGTTCACCCGGTTGGCAATAATTTATTTACTTTAACTAAATTTATATTTGATACTCGACGTATTCACTTAAATATTCATTTCAATGTAATTCCTAGCATTGTTATTCTGCACTGAGGAGAAAATGCACTAAATTTTAATAAATATTTGTTTGAATAATGTTAGTTGAATATTTACTAAATACAAATATGTGTATTTATTTAGTACAGGAATTATATTATTTTGATTTAAATATCATATATAATATATACTGTTTTTATTTAATAAATATTTATTTATCACGAGAGAAAATAAAGGTAGTGTTATTCAAACAATTGTTTATTAAAATTTGGTACTTTTTTTCTCAGTGTGACTATGCGTTGGAAATCGTAATTCGAGCAGGTGTTGTTCCTCGTTCATGCGACCGCGGTCACAGGGAACGGAAGCGGAAATCAAGCATAATGTGTCGGTGACGAGAGCGGAGCACAGCATTCGTGTAGGTGCATTAATGCAAATATGATGTTTTACGCTTAAGGAATATAGAAGAAAAAATATACCTGACATTTTTTAAAAATTTCGTACGAATTTTGCAGTAATAAAAAAATATTTTTTTAATATAAAAATTAAATTAAAAATGAAGTCAAAAAGAATGAATCGTAAGTTCAACTTTAGATATAATTTATATTAAACATAGATTTTACAAATATAATAAATTTAGCTCTCAGTTTGTATATATTATACAATTTTTATTTAAAAAATATCGGACAGTCTCGAATTGATTCTGAGATTGTAGCTAACAATAGATATCTAAAACAGTGCGAGCGGCGGAAATTACTGTCTCGATGATCATTCTTGGTTAGAGAGTGACGATTAACGATGAATCTGTCAGATAATAGGCACAGGCAGTGGAATACTTCGCCGAAGATTTTAATTAACCCACTTGCGCTTATATAGACAGGCATACCGCGAGTATAATTCTCGTTTTTCCGAGGTGTGGGGTGGATTCCCGCAATGAAGGGAGAAATTAAATCGATCTGTCTGTGCTTTTGTCAAATATCATAAAAGCTTCATAATTTTATCGTCTTGATGATGAGATCCAACCTGAAGTTTCCACACTTAATTACATTAGATTACTGAAAAAGCTTCATCGATTTTCACATATCATATAAGCTTCAAGATGCTGGAGGGGGGAAGGATTTGAAGATAAAGAGATCTAAGAGTTTAACGTTTTTTCAAATCTCTAAATCTCCAACTTGTCTAACGGGGGTAATTGATGAAGTTGAGGAATTCATGGAATCTTGGTATTATATACTGAAAGAATTTCATTCTTAATTTTATTTGATTTATTATTGCGAACCGATACATTTCATGATTTTATTATAAATAGTATTTTTTAATGATAAAATCTTTTTTTGCAGCTGTATAGAAATTCACGTTTTATTTTTAGTTTATCTCTTTATAATGTTTGCATTCTTCGTACATCATAAAGGAAATGATGAATCTAATTGCCAGGTAAGTGACGGTTTTGCGAATAAATGTGTTTTGATATTAAAATGTTTTATATGAATGAAATTTCGAAAGAAGGATCCTATATTCCAAAATGCTGTGTGTGTATTTTATTATATGCCTAATATACTCTAAAAACTATTGAAGAACACTTGAAAAATGATAATATAATAATTATTAGGCTATATCACGAATTATTTTTTATCGATCAATTTTTATTGGTTAAGTCAGATGATTAAATTAATGATGTGTTTAAGCAATGTCGGGGCATACTTGAAAAGTAGATTATCAATCGATCATTTAATTGTCACATCGTGGCATAGACATGCAGGGATTATCCGAATTAATTGACTGACGAAGTGCTCGTAGTGG